GTATCTAGGGCTGTTTCACAGAGAAACCCTGTTTCAAAGCAACAACAACAACGGCGACAATGAGACGAAAGGTTACATGAGGATACTTGATGGCTCTGTAATTAACCCGTTTACCTCTATTGTTTTTTAATGTTATCTGCTACAAAGGTCTCTTCCTACAGGTCACTTTTGTAACTATCAAACAAACACATTCATTCTATGTAGTCAACACATCTAATTACAGTACTTGGAAGGCAGAGGCAAGCAGATCTCTGTGAGTTTGACACCATCATGTTCTACATAATGAGTTCAAGGACTATATAGTGTGACCATGTCTCAAAACAAAAGGAGACAAAAAAAAAACTTATGCTGTTGGGAAACTATTGAGAATATTCCATCTGGAAATGTGGATTGTCTTCAGTTTCATATAAATTTGTATATATTATTTTATATATACATTTCTCTCTCTCTTTTTGTTTGAGACAGGGTCTTTTTATGTAGCCCTGGTTGTCCTGGAACTTGCTAAGTAGATCAGGCTGGCCTTAAACTCATCTGCCCTTGCCTCCCAAGTGCTGGGCTTAAAGGACTGTGCTACCATGTTTGGTACTAATTTCTTGTTTAACACTTGGGGAAGAATCTAGAGCCTGGCAATTCTAGACAAGTATGCCACCATTGATCTACGTTTCCAGATGATTTTTGAAGTTCTTCAAGTTGTTCTTGAGTTCTGTCCAGTTTGTTTGATCAGGTAATTGCTGAAAATTTACACTTTTTAAGGTTTCCAATATATTACGTGACCCATCTGAAAATTCCTGTTCTTGTTAAGGGGGCTGAATATCCCTCTACTTAATAGAAGAGTTCTATAAACAAGGTACAGAAATTTAGAAAGAAAGGATCCATGAAGTCTGCAGTGTGGTGAATTATATTTTAAAATTGAACTTCCAAGATGAGGATTTCAAACTACTAGGTTTGATGGCACAGGCCTGTAATCTCAACTACTTGGGAGTCTGAATCAAAAGAATTGAAAATCCAAAGTCAGTTTGGGAAACTTACTATGGTTTGGAACAAGAATGGTCCCTATAGTCTCATAGATTTGAGAACTTGGTCACCAGGGAGAGGCACCACTTGGGAGGAATTAGGAGGAGTGGCCTAGTTGGAGTAGGAAGTGTGTCATGGGAGGTGGTGATAGTATTTCAAAAGCTCAAACCAAACCAAACCAAACCAAACCAAACCAAACCAAACCAAACCAAACCAAACGAAACAAAAACTCAAGCCAGGCCCAGTGTCTCTCTTTCTGTGGTCTGCAGATCGAGATGTAGACTGCTCAGCTACTTCTCCAGCACCATGTCTGCCTGCATGCCTCTGTGCTCTCCACCATGATGACACTGGAGATCATGGTGTCTCTTCACAGCACCAGGAGACTAAGACTCTTATCAAGACCCTGCCTTCAGAGCAGAAAAGGAGTCTTTTAAAAGGTTGGGCATAGCTGTTGGTGGCACACGCCTTTAATCCAGTACTCGGGAGGCAGAGGTAGGGAATCTCTGAGTTCGAGGCCAGACTGGTCTACAGAGTGAGTTCCAGGACAGCCAGAACTATACAGAGAAATCCTGTCTCAAACAAAACAAAAGGAAACAAAACAAAAGGCTGGGCATACAGTTTAGCACTTGCCTAGAATATGTGAGGCCCTAGGTTCAACCCTCAACAAAAGTTTCATCATTCAGAAAAAGAGAAAAGGAAGCAGCATGATTATTTTATACTTCTTTTTTTTTTTTTGGTTTTTACTAGACAGGGTTTCTCTGTATTGTTTTGGAGGCTTATCGGTCCAGCCCGGCCTCGAACTCACAGAGATCCGCCTGCCTCTGCCTCCCGAGTGCTGGGATTAAAGGCGTGTGCCACCACTGCCCGGCCAATTATTTTATACTTCTATAAAAGCATATTTAGTCGTAAAGAGCTGTAAGTTGGGAAGACCTAGACTGAGAGCCAGTATCTAGTGTGTGCCTTCTTGCCCTTTCATCCCATGGCAGAGGACAGAAGGGCAAGATAGCACATGTTCATTCTTACATCACCTGAGAGATGTGGAGGGGAGGGCATGAGTCAGCCTGCTATCAGGATCCTTCCCAACAATAGGCATGCACTCTGGTTAAGGCTGAGCCGTCGTGATCTAATCACTTCTTGAAGGTCTCACTTCTCTGCATTCTTGAACTGAGGATGATGTTTATAGCATATAAACTTTGGGAGACACCGCCAAACCATGGATGGGGTCATTTTAGAGACAGGGTCTTCAGGAAAGCTTGGGGGTGTTTATACAGGGTCTGTAGTGAGGAGCAAGCCTTCAGGCTGGAGAAGAGGGCTTGAGGAGGCAGAGGATGGAGGATGGGTTTTGTGGAGTCACAGTTTGCTGGCAGCTTGGCTAGTTAGGAGAGCATGATGGTCCACGAGAAGAGGGTTCATCAGGATCCAGCTTCTAGAATGGAGAGCAAGGGATTAGTTAAATGGTCTCCTAGAACTAGCATCCACAGGGATGTATTTGGGAGAGGCAGCAAAGAGTCACAGGAAGGAGGGGCCCCAATGGATTAGTTGGAACTTTGGGAAGCTGAGGGGCGTACTAGAAGATGTGCAGGTTGAGGGTTTTTGGGAAAAGATCAAGGAAGTAGAAACCAGAGTCAATTCAGTCTTACTTCTGAAATAAAGATTTTTTTGGTACAAAATATCACACTTATCCTTTGTGCAATACCAATGTTCAAGAACTCTGTGCATTTTGTTTTGTTTTGCTTGCCCAGGGCTCACACAAGCAAAGCACATACTCCACATACCCAGTCCCTTCTGTGGACTTGTTTGGTTTTGTACTTGCTTCAGACTGAACACAGGGTCTCACATGCTAGTCAGGTGCTCTCCAACTAAGCTGTAGCTCCAGCTTCAGCCCCATGCATGTTTTAGTTAGCTAACTAATCAACTAATTAATTTCAAGACAGGGTTTCTCTACATAATTCTGGATGACTGTCCTGGAACTCATTATGTAGATCAGGCTGGCTTTGAACTTATAGAGATCTGTCTGCCTCTGTTTAAGTACTGGGATCAAAGTGTGAGCCACCACACATGTTGTTCACTCGAAGGCTTCTGGTTAGTGTGTTTGTGGGTGTCTCTCTGCGTAAATTATATTACTTCGCAGATGTTCAGGAGCACACCTACCAAATAATCACCATTATAGTGCTATTCTGATTTTATGGTTTGTAGAGGGCATCTTGGAAAGACTATGTTTTAGAAATTTCTCCATAACCATTGAAGTAGCTCAAAGTTATATTTGACTGTTTGATTTAAAATAGTCATTAAAACTGCATCAAAGCAGCCTGTATGGTGTAACATAATTGGAAACTTTCAGGGTTGGTACTCTGCTTAATCAATCCTCCTATATATATATATATATTATATTGAGAATATATATATCTTATATTGAGATAAGGCCTGGCTGCTAATCTAGGTTGGTCTTGAACTTGTGATCTTCCTGTCACAGTTTCTCACGTGCTGTGTGCCATTACATCTAACAGGAGATACATTTTACTTTCAATTTCCTTGTTTTCAGCAATCCTGCTACAATGTCCTGCACATTCTTTGTGTGAACTGCTGTGAGTCCTTAGTTTACTTTTTCTTTGATATATGGTCTCAAACTTGCAAAGCGGTTATGGATGACCTTGAAGTATTGCTCTTTCTGTTTCCACCTCTAGGTGCTGGGTAATGGGTGTGCAAAAACCATACCTAGCTCTCTGTTTACTATTTATGTTAGTCAGCTTTCTCTTAGAGCGGCTTATACTCCACCAGAGTGGCCTTGGTCATGGTGTCTCTCCCCAGCAGCAGGACAGTGACTGAGACACCAAAGGTGGGTCTTTACATATCTGAGCTATCGCACCATTTCAGCTTAATCTCTGAAGCACCCCACATGTGGGCTACATTCCCAGACTCCTCATGAATACTCTGCCCCCCCACCCCATTCTGGTTGGAATGGTCTTTGCTTGTCTCTGTCCACTGAAATCACGTGGCTAATACAGAGGTCAGCTCAGATATATTTTTCTGTAGACACTATTCTTTAGTGCTTTGAAGAATAGCTAATGGCCCTTTCCACTTGTGATGCCCCTGTGTTTTAATGCCACTGCACCCCACTTTGAGGTGCAGTGTTTGAGGACTGTGTTTACTTACCAGTTTAGCACTGACGAAGCACACATGTGAATGTCGTAGTTACTGTGTATCCCACCACACTGGTAGGTACCTAAGTAACTAGGACATTTTGATTTTGTTTGGGTGGAGGAATATAAATATCAGAGAAAATAAGAAGATATGTTGGCATGCTATGTTTCAGGGGCCCAGAGGAATGGAATATAAGTTCTTTGTATGTGTGTGTATATGAGAGAGAGAGAGAGAGAGAGAGAGAGAGAGAGAGAGAGAGAGAGAGAGAGGAGAACAGCTTGTGTAGTTGAAAAGCATTGCTTTCTAGCTGCCTGTCAAAAATGTTAGCTGAAAAATTTAGAATCACAGTCTGTGTTCCAAAGTGAGCATCTACAACGTGCCAAGTATTCAAAACAAACTGTATTTTCACGGAAGAGAATGGAACTTAAGTAATTAAACAAATCCTCTTATTCTCGAATTGCCTTTTTTTAAAAGTAGGTATGAGGTATAAGGAACCTTTTGTATTATAATTAGTTCAAAAAGGACAACACACATAAAATCTAATGCCAACTGTGACTCTGTTCCAGTGACTCTAAAGGCTCAGGCGGCCGATCGATGACACTGGCAGCCCACATGTAGGAGGAGATGCTTCCCAGAACTTGTAAGGTTCTGGGAGAGGAGGTGACAGGAGAGGGTAGACACCAGGTAGCTAAACTGGCCGCCTCAAATGCACGCGCGTGCGCGCGCACTCGGTGGGTCGGGCCACGGGGCGGAGCCCTTGCTCTCCGAGGTCCAATCATCTGTGGGCTCAGGGGGTAGGGCCCCGCTGGCCACGCCCCTAGCGGGCGCGGGAGGGGCGCTTTTAAGAAGCGGCCACAGGCGGCCCACTCTGTCAGGTGTGTGGGGCCGCGGGCGTGTCAAGTCCTCCGGCCACCGTGTGCGCCGCTCGCCCGCCTGCGGCGTCAGCGCCCTCGCCTCGGCCTCCCTCGTCCTCCCGGCCGGCCCTCGCAGTCTCCGCGAGCCACCCCGGACCTTGCGCCCACGAGCTCTCCCGGCGCCCGCTCGACGGGGCCGCCTCCGGCCATGGTACCGTCCCAGGAGGAGCCCGTGGCCGCTGCCGCGCGGGGGACAAGCCAGGCGCAGCCGCCGGGGCCCGCGCCCTCGGATGACGCTCCGTTGCCCGTCCCGGGACCCTCGGACGGCCCCGACGTGGCTGCAGAGAAGGTGGAGGTGGAGCTGGCGAAGTCAACGGGCGAAGAGCCCCCCGTCCCCCCTGAGGGCGGCTGGGGCTGGCTGGTGATGCTGGCGGCTATGTGGTGCAACGGGTCGGTGTTCGGCATCCAGAACGCCTACGGGGTGCTCTTCGTGTCCATGCAGGACACCTTCCGGGCCAAGGACGGTGACAACATGGCCTTCAAGACAGGTGGGGCGTTGCGGCGGGCCGAGGGGACACGCGGGGAGGGAACGCAAACCGCGGGAGCTTGGTGCGTCCTCTGGTGCTGGGAGGGTGTGAGCGGTGCGTCCGACCCCTCGCTCTTGCAGCCTGCAGCTTGGGGCTTCCGTGTGCCAGGCTTTGTATTCAATCTGCAAGAATCATGCGTTTGGAAGCAAGTTGCAGAGTTCTACCATCCCTAGGTTTCTTGCGGTAGAGTGGGTGCCAAGAAGCCACAGTACTTTCCTCTAAGTGTTGGAAAGCAAACGGAACGTTCCGGCGCCAACAACCCTGCACTGTCGTTTTTACAGTCTTTTTTTTTTTTTTTTTTTTTGACCGCCACGGTGGCGTGGTTATCCGCTTACTGTGCTGCAGAAGAGGATGTGTGTGTGTGTTCGGGCGGGTGCGGCGCGGCCAGGCGCGGGAGATTGGCGAGATGGAAAAGTGGATCCCAAGGTCACAGGAAGCCCCGAAAGGCAGCTCATCAAAACTGATAGTCTGATGTGTCTCTACACTCGGTTCTAAATATAGAAAGCATAGGAGGCAGCCACGTGGGATTAGGAAGATAAGGGGTGCACCTCCTGTTGTGTTGTCATTTTTCCCCTACCTTGTGGAAATAAAATGCAAAAGGTGCAGACTCCTCGTTGTCGTCAATTGCTTTTGCCCGAGTTCTTGACAGATTACGCAATACCCAAGTCTGCGATCTTCTGCTTAAGATTTTTCATTATTTCATCTCCTGCTGCAAGGCAGGTGCTGTCAGCTCCTTTTGGGTGAGAAAACTGAAAGTCTGTGAAATGAAGTGTCTTGGTGAGGAGCAGAATAAAGATAGAACTCATCACCTGACTTCAAGAGTGAGTGACTCTCATCGCTAAATCAGGCAGCTACTGCCTTTTGGGAAACTTCATAAGATCAATAATTTCTGTTTCTCTCTGCTCAGCCTGGCCTTGGACTCAAGATCCTCTTGCCTCAGTTGGGATTACAAGAACATTCTGTACTACACTGGGCAATAGTCTTTTAAAACAACAGCAGAGTCTCACTATGTAGTTCTGGCTGGCCTAGAACTTAATACATGGGTCAGGCTGTCCTCAAACTCAATATCCACTTGCCTGTGCCTCCCAATTGATGGGATTACAGGCGTAAGCCACCACTGCCTCACACAACAGTATTTTTTTTAAACTGCTAGTTTCTGCTTTTAGAGTGCATATTGCTTAGATTTTTTGGTGTGCACACAAAGAAAATGAACAGGATTGTAATGACTAAACATTGTAGGGAAAGAAAGATTTTAAGATCACCGTTTCTTTCATTTTTCTGTGCTCGAGTGGGACCCCGGTCTTTGGGCACGCTCCTCAAGAGCTGTCCCACTTCTCAATGTTAACATGATTTTCATTACATGAATACATTGTAGTTTATGCACTCTTCCCTTAGTAGACATTTGGATTGCTTTTCAAACTTAGAAAAATACTTTAAAAGCTGATACACTGAGTATTATTGTACACTCTTTCTGTGTGAATAATGATGTATAATATTTGGTAAGAAAATTCTGTTCCTTAAGTAGCTGTTGAAGTCGCTGTGTTGGGCAGGTCAAAGAGTTAGGAATGGTATGCTAAAATGTTCTTAGTTTTAAGCTGGGTACTGGTGGCACATGCCTTTAATCCCAGCACTTGGGAGGCAGAGGCAGAGGCAGGCAGATCTCTGAGTTCAAAGCCACCCTGGCCTACAAGAGTTAGTTCCAGGACAGCAAGGGCTATACAGAGAAACACTGTCTCGAAAAACAAATAAACAAACAAAAAACAACAAAAAATAGTTCTTAGTTTTAAGTGAAGGAAGGTAATTCTTGTATACTACAGCAGGACAGATATGAAGATGCAATAGCAAACAAAAATTATTTTGCAGTTCTTGATGCTTCTGTGTCCAAGGACTTCATATATCCCATTTCTTCTTTCATCTTGCAGCAACTCCATGAGTTGGGCTTCCTTTTCAGACTTGGGCTCACAAGGGTTTCAGCTGGAAGCAAGATTTCAACCTCAGGTTTGTCTGACTTCAGGACAAACTGTCAACCATACTGTACTGGCAAGATAACACTCAGCGAGTTTGGTGTTTTCCTGTCCATACAGTGCTTCTGGGGTTAAACACCTGAAAGGCTAGGGATTTAGCTCAGTTGGTAGAGTAGTTCTCACGCAGTGAATAGCACAGCATTGCATAAAGTCAGGTCTGGTGGCGGATGCCTGCAGTCCCAGCACTCTGAAGGACAGGCAGCAGGATCAGGACAAGGTCATATGACCTTCAGCTTCGAAGCAAGTTTGAGGCCTCCATGGTCTACAAGAGACTCTCTTTCTCCCTCTCTCTTTCCCTCTCTCCCTCTCCCTCCCCCCCTCTCTCTCTATATATACATATATATATTATATATGGTTCTTGTTTTTTTTCAACTAGTAAACAATGGCCATTGCTTATGTCTTGTCAAATGATTTTTGAAATGTGTTTCCACAGAAAAATCTACTTTTTAAGTGGCATTCATGGAAAATTCTAGTTAGACTGAACCATAGCAGGGAAGCTTTTCCTGGCTGTGCCAAGAAGAGATTTCCTTGGAGCCCTCTCCTTAAAAATAGCTTGTTTTGTTTGTTTTTTTGAGAAAGGATCTCACTGAGTAGCTCTGGGTGACCTCTACCTCTGCCTCCAGAATGCTCCATCTCTTCAAGATTATCTTAATTCTTTTTTTGGGGGGGTGGGTTGGTTTTTTGTTTGTTCGTTTGCTTGCTTGTTTTTTGTTTTTTGAGACAGGGTTTCTCTGTGTAGCCCTGGCTGCTATAGGACTCACTCTGTAGAATGGTTGGACTCAAACTCACAGAGATCCCCCTGTCTCTGCCTCCTGAGTGCTGGGATTAAAGGTATGCGCCTCGCCCCGCCATGTCTATCTCTTAATTCTTAAATAATGTATAACCTAGCCAAAATTCTCAGAGAAAGGGCCTGATGAAACTTACTCCCACTAATTTATAAGCCAGTTTCACACCTGTTCAGTTGTGCCCCCATTTACCTCCCTGTCCCCCCTCCTCTCTGTTCACCCCCACTCCTTTATTTTTTTGTACTGTTGTGTAAATGTTTACTATTTTGGAGCTGGTGACAGAGGAAGAAACATTCCAGCTATTCTCAGAGTTAGGTAGATCCTAAATGAGTATACCAGGAAAAGTGTCAGGACTCTCCCCTGGGACATATGCACTGTAAAGATGTGCAAAACTGTTCTAAAGTCTGAAATTCTAACAGAGTTTAAGTGCATGGTGGGAACTGGGAAATTCATCTGATAGCCTTTCTCTCTGGTAATAAAAATCTCTGGGAAACTGAGGCATTGGAATGGGGATGCTAGCTGAACTCCAAGTTGGGCAGTAAAATCACCGAAGCATACAGCATGCCAGCCCCTGCTGTGTGCCCAGGTGCTGACGACAAGACAATGTCGAAGACAGAGTGCATGTCAGAAGTGGTGCTGGTAGCCTGAGTTGTCTTTTCCATGACGATTTTACCTGTTTCCCTGGGTGGAAGGGAGTCAGACACTCTGAAAAAGAAGAGGGTACCACAACTATCTGGAGCATTGTTTTCTGCTAGAAACGGACCATTGTTTTAACTGATGGACTGTGGAAAACCAGGGAACTGCTAAGTCTAGCACTCTCTGTCTCCTCATGCAGTGCCATGGGACACTCTTTGGGATCAAGCAAGGGTATTAATCTTATTTACTGTTTTCTTTCTGGGGAAAGACAAATATTTTAATGGTGTATTTGATTGCCTTTTAAAATTAACTATTAAAGACAGGTATGCTTTTAGGATTTGTATTTAGGCTAGCATTAATGCTAACCTTTTGAAGAAGTGACTGTTTTTGAACCAAAGGCTTGGCTTCTTTCAATAATTCCCCCAATATGTTTTTTTTTAAGTATTTTTGTGAATGTGTGTATATGTGTGTGTGCGAGTGAGTACATGTGTGCAAATGAGTGTGCATTCATGACATGGTGTGTTTGTGGAGGTTAAAGGACCTCTGCGTGCGTGCGTGTGTGTGTGTGTGTGTGTGTGTGTGTGTGTGTGTGTGTGTGTGTGCATTCATGCCAATGTGTGCCTGTGGTGTTGGTTTTCACTATCAGCGTTTACATGGATCCCAGCAATCTGAGGCCGGGCCTTCAGGCTTGAGCAACAAGTGATTTTACCCACGAAGCCATTTCCGTCACCTCTCAAACATGCTTTTTAGTGGCCTTTTTTTTTTTGAAAGTGGAGGTCTGTGTTTAAGATTGGGAAACACCACACCTTATACTTCTCTCTAGGGCATTTAAAATGTTAAGTCAATATTAAGTTATTTAAAAACCACTGTCAAAAAGATGTGGAAAGAGGATCTTTGTCTACAACCTTTAATGTTATACACCTTCCCTTTATGGTAAGAGTATATTCTTGAGACAGTTACAGCACTGATTAGGAGGTGAAAGCATGTTGCATCACCTCTTTACCCCCATTAGCCTCTGAAACTTCAAGCTAGTTAGGGTCAAATCCCAAGTTCTCACATGTACACTTACATGGGTATCTACTACAGAGTCTATACTTTCCTTTCCAAACTTTATTGAATTGAACCGGCAGTACACAGATTAACCAGAGAAAAGAACATTTATTTGGTTATAGTTTCACATGACGTGGAAGCCTTCAGAGTGCCATCCAAAATTAACTGTTCCATTTTAATTCTTAGGATTGAAGAAGTTTGGTCAACTGTGTACAAATGATAGTGAACAAGAAGAGGACAGTCTAGCAGTAGAAGACTGAAAGGGAAACCTACAGGGTTGTCTGGCCATATCATTCTCCATTCTTCAGTTGTAGTGTTCAGGACCAAACATGATAGGTCCAAGAATTTCTCTACAGAGAACTCTACACAGAACCTGTGTAGTATGTAGTGGGGGATTGTAGAGGATTATTTTTTCAGCTTCTGTGTCTGGCTTTGAGGAAAAGGTCTTTAATTGCTATTACCCACT